ATCTTTATACTTAAGAACAAGAAGCATGTAATATACCTCAATTAAATATCATATATACTAAAAAAAATACAGAGTTTTATTAAACTAATGGTCAATCTGAAAGAATCATTCAAGCATAGGAAGACCTGTTGAGATTATGTGTTTTAGATTTTAAAGGTAGTTAGAAAGATCACATACCATTTGTAGAATTTGCCTACAACAACAATTACCAATCAAGTATACAAATGACATCATAAGAAGCACATTATGGCAGAAAGTGTAAGACTCCTTTAACTTGGGTTAAAGTAGGAGAAAGAAAACTAATAGGCCCAGAGCTAGCGGATGAAGCAACAAAGAAAATCAAATTAATTAGAGAAAGATTAAAAGCTGCACGATCACTATCAAACCAAGCATAGAGCAGTAGAGTTTGAAGTGGGTGACTTTGTATTCTTGAAGGTTAAGCCCGTGAAAGGTACATCTAGATTTGGACAGGGAGGCAAATTGAATCCTAGGTATATAGGACCTTTTAAAATCATTGAGAAGATTGCCAATGTTGTTAAGATCAAATAAAGGTGTTGGTGGAGTTTTCAGAAATCATAAAGGAAGATTCTTGTTTGCATTTGGTTTCAACTGCTTACATTGGGATATATCTCAATTGGAGTTATTATCCATTCATTCTTTGAAGAAAGTTTTGCAAGATTGGATGCTTGAAGCTAATTGTATTATCATTGAAGGAGATAATTACAATATTATCAAGATTGGATGCTTGAAGCTAATTGGCATTACAATATTATCATTGATTCCTCCTCCTTATATAGTGAATATTAACTCCCTTAGGCACCATAAAGTGGGTCCCCTCACGTATCAATACTCCCCCAAAATACACCTTGTTCTTGAGGTGGAAGGATGAGAATTGTCTAATCCTGGGCGATCATATCCAAGGAATTTGGATAATCACCTTTGATGCTTAGTCACCATCCTTTGCTCTAGTAGAAACTTCAGATTACTCTGGTCTGTTTTGATGATAAAGTGTTACCCCAACAAATAGGGTCGCCACTTTTTGATAATTAAGAAAATCACCATCAACTCCCACTCGTATACGGATTGAGCATCGCCCTGATTGTAAGCACCTTGTTGAAATAAGCAATGAGTTGGTGATATTGTATGAGTATTTGTCATGATCCGGCCCGGTAAGCTCGCATAGGCGAGGCGGGAATTGAGGTCGTATATTAGACTAAATTATCAAATATCTAAATCTATCACCATAACATTTGAAAGAGTCACTAAAACATTAAATTCGAAAACACATAAACATAAAATCATAAAGACTCATATAGTTACCTTTCTTCCGGCGCGCCTCTTCTACTCATTATGATTAAAATAATTATATCTGAAATATTTTTGAACAACTAACAGTAAGTCAATGCTTAGTAAGTAAAACATATCTCTAAACTACAATAATTCAAGGCAGAATGAGTAATATGCCACATTTCATTTAAACATATCATAAATTTTTCTTCCTATAAACATAATATTAAACATACACATAAATCATAAATCCATATTCTTTCATATTCATTTTTTTCATATTCATTATATCAATATTCATAATCTTCTCATTTCATACATAGTATAACCGTCATAGGAGCCACTGTCTAATACCATAAAGATACTCCTTTATCATATCCTTTTCCATAACCTTTACCATTTTAACATGCACAAATACAGCGTCCCCAGCTAGTATCATAAGGTGGTGAGCTCCATCATTTTAACATGCACATTCAATCACTCAATATAACAATCATATCATATCATATCTATAACATATGAACTTTATGTGATAATGCCATGAAGTATGGTACATTGTCCCCAGCTAGTACCATAAGGTGGTGAGCTCCATCATTTTAACATGCACATGCAATCACTCAATATAACAATCATATCATATCATATCTATATAACATATGAACTTTATGTGATAATGCCATGAAGTATAACATATAAATTGCATGATCAATCATAGGATAAGAATAACATAATCATGATCTAAGTAATCATAAATATGATTGGACTTTCAAAACATATATAACTGGAGAGAAACAAAGGTATAACTGTAATAAAGAATCATGAGTACTCACTTCGATTTAAAGGATTTGATTTGATTTCTCCGCTCGAACGGCTTCCTTCGAGGTCCACAATTATCACCTATAAGCATTAATTTCTCCTTAAAAAATCTACATAATAAAATCTAAATTAAAATTCTTCTTCTCTTTTTAAACCACTCTAAGTTCTCTCTCTCCCTCTCTAATTAATTTTAAATTTTCGGATTTAACTTAAAACCCTAATTTGGAAAAATTCATTTTCATTAATATCATTAATTTTGCATGCTAAAATTTCTCAATCATCAAATTAATGTTTATGGAAAACTAATTTTCGGATTTATTAAAATCCCTAATTTTTGGAAACCCTAAATTCATTAATTTCATCAAATCATCATGCCAAAGTTTTCCTTAAACCTAATTTAATAATTACCTTAATCATTTTCGAATTTATTTAATATAGAAATTATGAAAATATAATTTTCATGAAAAACCCTAATTTATATTATTAGAAGCTCTTTTAGGATCATTTGGAACATTACCTCTTAAGAACTTTCTTAAAAATCCAATAATAATGAAAACCCTAATTTTTCTGAACTCACAAAATTCTTGAAGAAAACTTCATTTTTAGATTCAAAACATTTTTCCTAATATTTCCAAACAATTCTCATTTAATTTCTTAAAGAGATTCAAAGTTTTTCTTAATCCCTAGAAATCTTCTCTTCCAAAAATCTAGAGAATTAGAGGGAAAATCATAAATCTATGGCATACCTTATCCTTCCCTTGACTTCCTCTTCGATTTCCCCCAAATCCTTTCGCCGGAAATCGTCGTCGGAGCCGCCCGTCGTCTCTCTCTTCCCCGCCTCTTCCGTCCTCCTCCTCTTCGTTTTCGGTCGAACAAAAATAATGGGGACCGAATGAAATTCGGTTCCCTTAAGAGAGAAGGATTTAGTTTTTAATTATAAAAAGTATTAAATGCCCTCACTTGAATAATACCCGCTTAAATAGCTACTAGGGGTAATTTGGGTATTATGTGAGTTGTATTAATTTCAACTTCAAAATTAAGCAAAATTGACTATATGTTCTTTATATCAACTTGTTCAGAATTTTGTGTAGAATTTTATAAAATTATTTTCGTCAAATTCCGACGACTTTGAAAAATTCACTTAAATCTCGTCGCAGTGCATCGAAAAGCGTGCGAGGTCTAAAATTGGCATTTTCATGTTTTACAGTATTGCTCCTAGACTGTATCAAGATGCATTCGTTTCCATCCGGTACACCCACCCATGGGCATCCTACTCCTCAAATATCAACATCTTCAACTTCCTCACCCCAACATTTCTACTCCAACTTCCTCTCCCTCCAATGGTTCCCCTCATGCATCGTGGGTGGGACTCCAACCTTTCTTCCATCCTCCTTGGATGACCCGATCCCCCATGGCTCAGCTTGACCCCCTCCATCTCCGGTCGCCCACTCCCTTTGCTCGAAATGCCTCCCATATTGGTCAACCATCTCACCACCTCCACCACAAAATTTCCTCCTTGTTCTCCCTCGATATGGAAACCCTAATTCATCCCTTATCACAACCTTAGGAGATGAATCTTGATTAAAAAAAAAAGAAAAAAAAAGGAGATGAATCTTGATGAAAGAAACTCTTCTCATTGAACTTCTCCCGCTTGATCTCCTTTCCCTTAGATTCGACCAATGGAATCACTGTCAAATTTTGGTTAGGGTTAGCAATCTGAAGCACCAGTGGAGTTTTGGATTGCATCTCCATGAGCTTCCTCATCATCACTTCCAACCTTCCAAATCTGCTCTCCATCTGATTCTTCATGGTTGAGAATTTCTCCTCTACATAGGATTTAAATTGCTCTATTTATCCTTCTAATACATTCACCTTCTTTGTTGCTATTGTTTAAAAAAAAAAACCTAGTTTTGGTACCAATTTGATGCATCTTGGAAGTAAAAACGACGAAAGAAACAAGTAGAAACTCCAGGAATCTGAAGATAGCGGCTGATTTTTTATTTTCTCTTATATAAGAAAGAAATATACAAATGATCTACTACTATTTGAGAGGTCGATTAGCTCTCCCACAAACCTTAGATGTCGTTAGGAACAACTCCTTAGAAATTATAACAAATATAAATCACATAATGAAGGTAAAACAATCTAATTATCTTTAAATAAACCATCATATTTTTCTCCAAATATGAATTCAAATTGGCAATCTTTCCCTAAATATATCTTTACTAATTCCCTCAAAATTCTGATTTCAAATCAGTCCTTTTTCCTTAAATAAACTTTTCCTAATTGCCTCCCCGATCTAAATTCAAATTAGCCTCTTTTCCCTAAATAATTCCGTCCCAATTATAATTAAAACTTTTCTAAACAACTCTCCCTTGATTCTTCCTTGCATAGTGAATATTAACTCCCCTGGGCCCCACAAGGTGTGTCCCCTGATGTATCAGACAACAACAAACCTTTAACCCTCTTAAATGGGGTTGGCTTCATGAATCCTTTTCCTCTATCGTGCCCTGTTAAGAGTCATATTCTCATTCAAGTTAATAAAAAAATAGTCATTTCTAACATTTTTTAATAACTTTTTTTAGGTGTACCTTTACCTTTCCTAACATAGGCCAAATCTAATACATCTACTCTCCTAATCAGATCATCAGAAGGCCAACATTTTATGTGACCAAACCATCTAAGACGTCTATCTAATCTTATTTGTCACTGGATCTTCTGCAACTTTTTCATATATATACTTGTCTCACATTCTATCACATCTTATCTCTAAGAGTAAAGCTCTTGTTTCCTTCTTTGGGCTTTGGGTTCTCTTAGGCTAAGTTTTATGTCAAATTTTTATTTTTCAAACATGTCCACTTAGCTTGTTAACTCACTATTGTATTATCTTAATATAGGTTAATGTAGGTAGTGCATCTTCAGATTCTCTCAGATCAATGATAGAGGCAGAAGATGAAAAGAGGAGATCAATCAAACAAAGGAACCTTGAATGCCATCCACTGTTCAGTGGAACATTTACTCGGCGAGCTATGGTATGAAGTTTCCTAAAGTGGCTTCTCAGAAGACCATCATGTGCCGTAGCTCTAATTTATGTTGATTTAACTTTTACAACTATAGGATGGCTCAAAAATGCTATTCAAAGATCCTGCTTCTGCTTCAACAAATGGCTTAGCAAAAGTTCGCAAGGTTCAGCGAGGTCCGCTAAAAAGAGTTGCTTCTGACAATGGAGTCTTGTCTGTACAAGAGGAAAATATTCTAGAACTACTACACAATTTCATAAATCAGTTCTTAGCCGGTGGCTATAATGGTGTGTTTTACTGGTACATGGAGCGTTTTCTTTCCTAGCTAACTCTGATATCTCATATTGTTGATTTGCTCATCAGATCTAATGAAGACAATTCGGGATGATGTTATTAAAGAACAACAGGACATGCAAAAGAGTGACATTATAACGTTTTTTGAAGTCACCCATTTCATTACAGCTTTCCATCAAAAAAAAATTTTAAAAAAGGTTTGTCGAACTCTGAGTTATTCTATGGCATTGTGTTTATGCATTTAACATATTTTCAATTTATGATTTAGATTAAGTTTTTAAAGTACCAACAATCTTTGTAGATGTATGCTAATGTTTATGCGATTTCCACAGTTGAAACACATGGGCTATCGAGTGGCATGAAGGTTTTAGCCATGACAAATTATTATCCCTCTTAGCAGTCACATGGGTTTGTCTCTTGATGAGTCCGCATGTAGTGGGGCTGACTTATTATTCTTTGGGTTCTCAAAGATTGCTCTCGAACTTTCTCGAAACTTCTAGTCTTATAAATTACTCTATACTCTATTTATTTATAGTAGAAATATTGTTCTTACTGTTTGGTGCTGAAGCTTTACGAACTTCTAGACGGAGATGCCTATTGTTTGTATCATCATAAGCTTGAGATATAATAAAATTTCTTGGAGTGATTTTCTCCTTCTTGAGTTCCTGTGAGCTAGTGCAAGTGATGTTTGATTTGGGGCCATAGAATCTTAAAATGGCACGGGTTAAGTAGACATTATATTTGCAAGCTTTGACAAATTGTTATTAGATCAAAGAAGGGCCATGACAATGAAGGGTTCATCAACTAGAGAGCAAGTTCAAAATGACCATCAACACAAACACAATGATGAGATTTCTCACGGGAGTTAGAAAGATCTGCTTAAATCATTGTAATCTTATATGGTGAAGGTTGAAAATTCCATGGAGTCGTCCAAGAACAGCTGAGGACATATTTGAAGGACAAGAGGGCTAAAATTAAGGTAGGAAAAGCTTTATGAGGAGATGCAATGTATGTGAATATTATCAAGTTATAGTGGAGACCGTACATGTCAGGAGATAGAGGAGCTCAATGTAGAGGTCTCCAGGAAAGGAAACATAAGTGTTGGAAATTCAAAAGAGTTCAAAGGCATGCGATTGTCTAAAGTGGTGGACAGTTTGTGTATCAGTGAAGAATTCTATGTAATGAATATGATGGATGATCTTTTATGGTTAAGCCCCACATCCATGCAGCTTACTGATGTTACCTTATTTGATGTTATGCGTAAGTATGATGGAAGCAGGAATACCATTACCTTGTGGGAGTTAGTATAAAGATTTGGCCATTAGTTTTACTTTGAATGGATGAAGGATGAAGCTCAGATTAAACTTATTATTTGGAGCATAAGGGTGAAGTACAGGAATTTGTGAAGGCAGTCTTGGAGTTATTGCTGTATATTCTATTCATGAGCTAAAAAGAACATTTTTTAGTTCATAGATAGGTTGAAATTGTAGTTTATCTTTGAGCCGCAACATAAGTGCATGTAGAATCCATCAAATGTTATTTTTATGGTGGAGAATTTTATCGAATGCATTTCAAAGGACATGCCATATTCTAAACCAAGAACGAGAGAAACAATGGCGAAGATCAACCCCAAGTAGTATTTGGAAGTTGAGCTCAAAAGGTGAGAATGATAAGTTAGATCACCAATCCTTATAGTGCTCTTGCGACAATCCATACAAAGCTCTTGAATGCCTACTTGGGCAAAACTTTTATGTTTTTATTAAATTTGATGAAAATTGGGAGGATAAGTGACTTGGTTCATTGTAAATCCTTATATCAATAAAGAATAAGAAGGAAATAAGCCTAAGGGACTAATGTGTATTGACATCGAGATTGCTAGCATAAAAATGATCACATTAGTTGCAACCGTGCATTTGACCTCTTCATCTCTGAGGAGGTTGCAAAGAAGTTGGGATTTTTTGTAAGGCAGTGAGTTAAGTGGCTTAAGAAGGTTAACTTTAAGTTGGCCGTTATGATTGATGTAGCGTGGATGTAGAGGCGTGTATTAGCTAGAGGTAGAGCAAATAATTCAATAAGGTAATTTCTCTTGATGACTTGACTTGCTTTAAGGAAGGATTTCCTTTGTATGATCAAGACATGAATTGCACCATTTGTTGATTGTGGTATTATTTGGTGGTGTTGTATTTTCTAAAAGAAGCATGTTGCGTCCTTATGTTCGCACATTAATTATCAATTATTCAATAAGTTGATGGTGATGATTGAGTTCCTTATCTTGATCAGTGCTGTCTGATGGTTCACCAAGATGGACTTATATTCATGATATTATTATATTTGGATAGCAAAATGGGATGAATCAAAGATTACAAGTGTGACATATCACAAGTCATATGAATTGTTTGTTATCATGTTTGGGTTGACCAATGCACCAACAATATTTTGCACTCATGAAAAAGATACTCAATTAGCCTCTTGATTGGTTTTGCATGATTTATCTAGATGAAATTATGATGTACAATTGGATGGTTGAGGAGAATATTGAGCATCCCAAGAAGGTGTTTCAAGCGCTCTGGAAGAACATCAGAACATGTACTAAAGTAGGAGAAGTATGTGCTTGCATAGTTGGACATCCCTTTATACTTATTGTTGCTGGCGGTTGAGGAAGGATGAATCGTGCAAAAGTCCAAGTTATCTTGAACTGGGAGTCATAAACCAAAGTGATAAATTATGCTTGATGTTAGGTGATGTTCCAGGCAAGGATGGAGGAAGCCATCTTGACGTTCTTTGACTTCTCCATGCAGTATGAGGTATAAATATGTGAGAACCAAAAATTTTCAGGTATTTATCTATATATAAACTAATTTATTTTAGTGTTTAGATAAATAGATTTATGTTATGAGTAAGTTAGTTAAAATAATTATTAGAATAATTTAATTTAAAGCATTGATAATTTTGAAAGGATGTATTCAGAAGAGGCTTTTGGTGAGTGCTTAGAAGATGGGACTCACTTCCCATTGGTCTTATCTGCATAACCGTTGATATTCCATAGAAATAGATAGGGAAGGGGTTCGGTTCAGTGCGAAGAAGTTCCGTGAGGTTGTTTTTACCGGAAATCCTGAAATTCCTGTTCATCTATTCGGACGGAGGTATACAGACGGAGATAGAAGGTCCTGTAGCTTGGTTCCGCACAGTCCCCTGTTGCAAATGTCGCAGAATTTACTGTTGCAGGAGGTGTCACAATGAATTTTCTGTGAAAAATTTTGGATTCTTGAGCAATTGTGCAGTTTAGTGTTGAAGGAAATTCTGAAGAAAAAATCAACGGTTCAGGTAAGTGGAAATGAAGTTATGAGAAATCTGGTACACCGAATTCTATGTTTGGTTTAAATTTATATGATGAATTATAGTTCGATATGTGTGTAAAATGATTTAAAAACAGTGAACAATAAACTTTGGAAAGATTTTGAGTAAGAATAAAAAAAGAATGTAGATAAATAGTAGAAGCTAATAATATTGGAAGAAGGTAAGAAGTATATTATTTATCTTTATCTTTTATGTTACTTAAATTTAGTAACATTTCTAAAGATGATATCCTATTCGTATGGTAGGATTATTCATAGATTTATGCAGAAAGAAAGTTTTGGGATAGTGTATCAAAGACGAAGATTACGTGGAGTAGGTTTGGAAGAGGCCCCTCATCAAGAAGGTAAGATATGTAAAAGAGTTATAATTGCAATGATTTGGTAGTTTTCTAATGTTGTGTGAATGAGTTAATGACTGAAATACTGAAATGCATTATGTTAATTTTATGAGTAATCATGAAAATACGTTGAGGTATTCACAATCACTGATTCATGGAATTATGAGAATTTGATAAACAAAGATGTATGCTTAAAGCAGTCTTTTCTTAGTTGATAGATTTTGGAAGTAATACATATTACATTCTTCCTACATCTAATGAATGATTATAAATATGGTGGAAAGTCTATAACCATTGGAATCGATTATGATTTATGAATATATGAGGGTTATTGAATATTTAATTATTAAGATTGACTACTCTATATTATGATATCTACATTGTCAGGTGGGCAAAAGGGACCCAATATGAAACTTGTATTGTTGATGGAGCAAAAGGGATCCCAAGGAAATTGATACATGTATAGTAGGTGGGGAAAAAGGGACTCCTAAAGAGGCAAAAGGGATCTCTATGAATTTCAATGGTGATAATATCAGGTCTACTTGAACTCCATTAAATATTGTATGAAACTATAACCAAATCTTTTAAAAGAATAAATATTCAGTATCTACCTCAAATGACAGAAATGATGATGTCCAATATGATTTTATGATATTTTCCAGTTAATGATAAACTGATCCAATAATTAGCTCAATATTGTCATTCATTAAGTTATTGCATTTTTATTGCTATTGAATTGCATAGCTTATTGAGCCTCATAGCTCACAAATATTTTCTTACTGGCTGTTGTTATAAGAAAGGGAAAGGAGAAAATCATTGCAGATTAAATTGACAAGTATTACATATGTTATGTTATGTTAGTGTTTATCTTTATTTGAAGTATAAACTTAAGGTATGTAAACTTCCCAGTGATGTATTACTTTGGATTTCTGTAGTGGCTCTGTAAGTATCTTATGTTGAAATTTAAAGTTATTTGTTGCTCCCGTTTGATGAGATGTATGAGAACTAAACCGTTGGTTGTTTTATAAAGATTATCAAATGTTCAAAAGTATCGTATGATCAACTAATGAAAGATCTATGTTAGTAATACTCCTTGTACTGTTAAGGGGTACTATGGGTTGTTACAAAATAAATGCCTCATACTATGCTATTGTTATTGTGTTCATGGCGAGGGACTTCAGTGCCATTTAAGTGCTCAAAGATAAATCACCAAGTACACTTGCAAGTGAGGAAATTATTGCAATGGTGCATTGTTTGCATGCATGGTAGCATTATTTACTTATTTTAAAGTTTCCATAAAGAAAGATAATATAGCCGCAAGCTACTTCCATAACCAAAAGAAGCTCACTTGAAGTTGGTTCATTGATAAGAATTCCTTGTATAGTTGAACTACAAGCTTGAATAAGAACTCAAAAAGTCGTGATTGGTGTTGCACTTGAGTTGAAAATTAAAGTTGTGTATCATTAGTTAAATTGATGCCTACTTGTTGATTAAATCAAAGAGGCATTACAATGTGGCACCACAATAAACGCTCTTTTCGAGTATGCTTGACCTGAGATTTTAGTTTGAGGATGGCTTAGTCTACACCAATGGATTGTGCCATAATATGAGAAGTTGCAAAGGGAGATTTTATGTGTGCCTTGATTCCAAGTGGGTAAGTCTTCTGGAATCTATTGCATTAGGGTGCTTATGGTATTTTTGGGAATTGCAATACTTGTCTTGTTTAACAATATACCAATTTAAAGCAATAATATTTTGAAGATGTATTGGACGCTCACAACATTCATAGGAAAGCCTCATTATGGACTACATGAATCTGTTAAAGTTTGATATATACCTATTTATTATGATTGTGGTTGACATGAACTATGAGAAATTCATTCCGATTACAATGGATAGGCAATTAGATTATTTTTGAAACATGTTGCCAAGTATTTGGGAGCACCATAAATAGTTCTGAGTAATCATGATCCTTGATGCACATCAGTTCTTGATGCATCTTTTCAATACTATTGGGTAAGAACTCAATTTCTGAATAAGATTACACATTTCCAAATCAATGGTCAAATAAAGAGGGTGATAGTGCTTTTAGATTTACACCTCAAACATAGTGAACAGTGAACATGATGTGAAAAAGTAGGTTAAATTGGTAGATATGTTGTATTCTTTGGACACTTTGCAACGCAGTGGGTCTATGAAGAGCTCTTTTGTAGTTGAGGGGACTTCAACTGCTGATGAATGCTATTAGAGGAGTAGCTTGGTGGCATACAAATTCACCAAGGAGTGGAACAAGTGAATTGACTTGGCATGGTTATGTTATTAAGTGAATGAAAAAGTTGGATGATCAAAAGTGGTGACATATCAAGTACCAAGTTGAGGATCTCATGTTCAAAATCTATGTGCTTTTTACCATAAGGATGTACAAGAAGTGTTGGCTAATTATTATGAAAGAAGCTTTCAAGTCCTTAAACGTGTAGAAAAATCTCATGTAAAATGAAGTTCCTATTGAAACTCAAACTTTGTTTAATGTTCCATGTATGTATATGTACAATCACTTCCACGAGGATTAGAACAACTAGAATTATGTAAAGTTTCAATATGCTCCATTTGGGGTGAAAAGTTGGTATTATTATAACATCACATGCATATTGGATAGTTGAGTTGTGTTGAGATGATATTGTACTTTGAAGCTTGATTAATTGATCCAACAACATGTATTGCTTGAGAGGGACGAGTTAGATGCCTAGAAGTACTTTGGTAGTGTCACGACTTGACCCTGCTAGCCCGAATTAATGGGGCGGGAGCAGACAGTCGTATATAAAACATCATAATATAATCATTACCATTTCATATAAACTTTTCTAACAAAATATGAATATCCTCAACACATAATATAAGAAAGAGCCACTAAGAAAACATCAATATCATAATTGTCCCAAATTATTTCTTCTCACACAACTACTAAAAAACTTTAAAATCCACAATTACATAAACTCAATACTGTTCATACACAGGTACATACTACATAACTCAAACTCAGACTCAAACTCAACAGAAAACATAAAAAGAACCTTTTTTCCTGAGGTTTCCTACGACGATAAGTGTAAGGCGTCGTGCAGCCATCACTTCTCTCCTGAAAAAAATATTTCAAACGTAGGATGAGCTTACTCGCTCATCAGGTAATTCATAACTCAGTTAATTTCATAAGAAGCATAAAACAAAAACTTTTATAAATGAAATCACTTCATGTCATTTTGCAAGTCATAACATTTGAATTTTCAATCTTACTTTCATTTTTCTTTCTTTAACATTACATTCTTTCATTCTTTCCTTTCACCATTTTCATATGCAATTCAAATGCAAAAATGCTTATGTTAAATGTATACACCCGTCTCGGAAGTACCAATGTTCGTACTAACCAGGTACGCAGTCAAATTTTGACCATTTCCTTTACCATTTGGCTCCGAAGAACCCCATTACCATTTGGCTTTTGCAAGTCCCATTACCATTTGTTTGGCACTTCCGGATCAACATGCACATGAAATTGTTATTTAATTTAAATATTTTCAATTATGTTCAATTGCTCTTCATAAGCTTTATATATTTTCATGCTCAAGTATTCTTCATATGCTTTCTAATTAATGGATAATATTGAAATATGAAATTGCAGGGTATTCTTTAAATCATTGATTATAAAACATGCATTAACAGTAAAATAAATGCATAAAAAGAATTAAGCACTTATAAATTTAAATGAGGTATGAACACCTACCTTACGACTTTAAAATATACTTCTACGACGTACGACGTCGTTCCGACACTTGTCGTTCCTCTAAACAATCAATACCTAACATTGCACATAAAAATCCAAGTCATTTTACATAATACTAAATTTTATTAAATTTAATTAGCATTTTTCGGATTTAATAAAATCTTAATTTTCGAAAAAATCACAAATCTTCAATTTATTGCTCTAAAAATATTCCTAAACACATATTTATAATTATCTAATTTATTTTCAGATTAATTAATTAAAGAAATTATGGAAAATAATATTTTCATTAAAAACTCACTTTTATGTTTTAAAAACATTCCTAATGTTCTTAGGAATAACTTTTCTAAAGGCACTTAATAGGAATTAGGTTTTAACAAAAAGCTCTAATTTCTTTTTCTCCAAAAATGCCTCCAATTTTATTGATTTTTTATTTAAAATGCTCTCCTAAACATTCCCTATTAATTTCTTAAAGAAATTTTGAAAGAAAAATAGATTTTAGAAAAACCCTAAAAAATTCGTCTCCAAAAATCTTGAGATTGAGAGGGATTCGTTTAGAAAAAATCATACCTTTGCAATCCTCTCGTCGTGCTCTTCAATTTGGACTAAATTTCTTGCCGGAAGATCGTCGCCGGAGTCACCCTCGCTGAGCCCGCCGTCCCTATGCCGTCCGCCCCTATTCCGCTCGGTTTGGCCAAAACTTGCGTGAATATGAGAGGGGGAGGGTTCGGCTTATTCATTTAGGGAGAAATGATTTGTCAAATGTCTATTATGCACTCAAGTAATTCCGGCTTAAGAAAAGAGTAAGGGTAAAATGGGTATTTCTAATCTTTTGAATTTTATAATTCCCTAAATACATATAATTAAATATAAGTCATATATATCAAAACGAGCAGAATTTTGCGTGGATTTTCTAAAATTATTTCCGTTAACTTCGAAAATTTCACTCATGTTTCGTCGCGACGCATCGAAAAGCGTGCGACGACCTACGAACGTCATTTTCGGGTTTTACAGATAGTTTCAGTAGAAGATTGAGGCATTACACACTGAGGTGGATGTGCGTTGTCATAATAGGTGGAGGGAGAATGTCATGAATGCCATGCATTTACAGCTTTATGGCATGTCCACAAGCATTCAATTCATGGATGTTATGGCTGTGACACATCACTCTCTTTTAGCAGTTATGTGGAGCTATCTCGTGTTTTGCATTTTACTTGAACTGGCTTAATCACTAGAACTCGAAAGTATTTTTTTGAACATTTTCAAAATTTCTAGAGTCTTATGGATAACTCTAGTCCTTTTTTTATTATGGTTGATGAAAATCGTTGTAGTTAGGAAAATATTCTTAATGTTTGTGGTTGAGGTTTGTGGAACTTATATGAGGATGGGGTCTCTCTCCTGTGTATGATCTCAAGTTTGAGAGCTAGTAAGAGCGGTGGAGGTAGTGGATAAAATTTCTAAGTGAAGAATCTTTCTTGTACATGAGTATTAGAAGGACGGTGTTAAGGATTTTGAATATGTTGTAGGCTATTGGATGTAGGTTATTGGGGTTTTGCAGGTGGCTGGGAGTTGATGCATTGTAGGATTTATTTGTGGAGTTTAATGGGGAGAACGACTTAGGTTTGCTGTGTGGATGGGCTTGACGAAGAGCTATTGTAAGGGGAATTAAAGTTTAAGCTTGTAAGAACAGAACGGTTGTTATGGGAGGAGCTAGTGGAGGACTATGTTTGTGAAGAAATAAAAATTCAGATCTATGATATATATATTTTTTTGGTTTTATGGTTAGGGCCGTTAGGCTGAGAGCGATAATGTGTTTTAGGTTTTGTTGTGAGTTGTAGAGAAGGGTAAGAAGGTATCTAGGTTTAGGGTTTGAGAGGAGTTTGAAGGAGTGGTTTCCTCACCTAAAGAATAGGCAAATAACCAAAGCATGGCAATACCAGAGGCATAAACAATACCCAAGTGGAGTTAGAAATTTTGTTGAAAGGGAATACAATGACAATTTACTTTAAGTATATCTTAATTACAAAATCTAAGAAGAGACGATGAAAACTTGTTTATAAAAAAAAAAAAAAAAAAAAGATTTCTAGAGCTTTTGAGGTGCAAAGTGCTCCTCTAATCAGAAACTGGACCATGTACTATGTTCAACTAATTGTATTTCAAGGCTGGCTTCATTTATGTCTTGAAAGTTAAGAACCAGAAAATTGCCGACTTTTAGTTTTCATGCTTGAAATCAAACTTTCAGTTTCTAACAAACTGATTTATGTAGAGACAAACTATGGAGAATATGGAACAGGAATCGTCTATCAACAATCAATCTGTGGACTACCTTTCGTTGCACCAGGATTTATGTGGACCAATTGCAGCAACTATGAATGAAGCAATGTACTCTTTAGTCATTTCTAAATGGCGTGAAGCTTCTGATGGAGTGAAGATAACTAATGATTACAAGTTTCTTTCTGCTGCTGGATCTCTTATGAAGAGCATGGTAAGTGTGCTGCGCTTTAAACTAAATGAATTCTCTCCACTGCTACAAGTCAAAACTTGTTAGTCTCTAAAATGTGATTGCTAGTCTTCTTAATCCGCAGATAATGATTTATCTTGAATATTCTCAACTATTTTCCTTCTTTAGAAGTATCTATTTCCACTCAATTTTATGATTAAGGAATCATATATTACTTAATATGAATTCAAAACTTTTAAGATGTTAAATGACAGAGTAGCCATTGTATTGGTTTATATAAATGGCATTTGAAATGTTTGAACAAAAATCAACGTGGAAGCATGATAGACTGATGTAGAACTACATGTAAAGACGAATGCAAGATGTAGAACTACATGTAAAGACAAATGCAAGCGATTGAACTTACACGAATAAGAATATAGCTTTGCAGTTAAGTAACTTCTTGCTTTCCTTAGCTACGTTTTAAACCATTAAATTGGTGATTAAGCTTAAGTAATTAATTACACAAGAAAAGATTTGAATCATAAAACAATTATATCAAATTATACCACGCAAATGTAGGGTTTTCAAAAAGAATCCCTAATTTAACAATTAGATTAGTCACTATAAAAATCCGCTCACTCACATTCTTAAATTGGGTCATGCGGATAGTTCTTCATAGCTAAACAATGCCACGATTGAGAGAGGATTTAAAAGGTGCAAGGGAGAGAGTTTATCCAAAATCAGGAGATACGAGAAAACGGTGATGATGTGTGGTTGTTTTTGAAGTAGGACAACAATCAGAAGCCTTTTCACAAGTCTGGGCAGCAACTGTGGGATGTCGGATCGAAGTTCTTGGACAGCAAGAGGGTGGTCATGAGGAGGGATGGACAGCAATGGGGAGGTGCAAAATTCTCTGGACAACAAATACAACTGCCTGGACAGCAGCTTTGGCCTGCGGGAAACTCTGGACAGCAGGTTTGCAAGCTCCAAAATTTTGGACAACACTTGATCTCCTTCGGGACAGCAATTTGGACAAGGAAAATTCAGGGTTTTGCTCCTCTAGTTGCAAGGAAACTAGAAGAATATTATGGGGGATTATGTGACCAGCAATAGAGGGAAATATGGAATTAATTTCCTTGCCTAGGGAGCATGCCAATTAAGTCACAAACTAATTTGGAAAGGAGGAAGGTGACGACTGGTTATGGGAGCATTAATGGGTTGATTGGAGGCTTAATTGGGTGCATTAATTAGATAGGAGAGAGGGAGGGGCCAACCATGCAGGGGGGGGGGTTGATTGGGGAATTTTGGAATCCTTCCCAAACATAAGACTTTAATTAAGGAAAGGGAATTAGAGGGAATCTCCAATTAAATTCAGATTTGAAGAGATTTGAAAGTATCCAAATTAGATTATCTTATTTTAGGAAAGGATTCAAATTCAAATAAATTTGAATTTGAAATTTGAAATCTTTTCAAATTTAAGATGATCTAAATTAGGTAAGTCTTCAATTCTTTCCTTAGGGGAGATTTGGAAAGAAAGGAAGTAGGGGCAAGTAGGGCCGGCGGGTGATGGCTTATGTGGTTGGCGGCCGGCGGCTAGTAGGCTTAGGTGATTGTGGCCGACGGCTAAGGGGGAGGGAGGAGGGGATTTGTGGCCGGTGGGGTTGTGGTGGCGGTGGGGTTTTGGCCGAGAAAGGAAGAGGGGTTATGGCTGGCGGTTTAGAGGGGATTTGGTGGGGATGCCGGCGGCCCAAGGGAGAAGGAGGAAGGGTTGGGGCTAAGCCTACGACTCTTGGGGACGATTGACCGGCGGTGGAGGGGTAAGGAAGGGAAGGAAAAAAGAAAGAAAGATAACCACGAGCCTGGATGCTTCCTGCGGAAGGTGGGTGATCTGTTGCCCTCCACCAAGGGACTTTACCAAAGCTCTCTTCTCGAACTCTCAAGCTCTCTCCAAACACATGGATGCAGAAATTTTCATAATAATCATTCATGAACTCTAAAAGAATAACAAGGGGCTTATAAATAGCCTCATACAGTGAAAGAAAAACTAAAAGACAGACTTACCCCTAGGGCATACATAAGACTAGACTCTCAAGTGAGGGTAGAAATGAAAAAGTGTAAAAATAAATCAAATACATAAAATGACAAAAGAAAATATATCGGCGCGATCGTGGCTGTAGATCTCCAGATCTTTCTCTGCTAATCTTTCCACGGTAGGATTTCCTCATCATAGACATTCTTGTTTATTGTATTACTGTTGTATTACTATTGAGCTTATATGAGGACATCCTTGTGCAATTAAAAGAGCTCTGCATAGTAGCTATCATGCAACTTAAAAACTATGTGAATTGCAGAAAGCGATAGGTCCAAATTATTTTAAACTGGCATAAGCGTCTGTTGTTTTCAAGTAAAGTAATGTGTGCATTACTTTGAAAACTATACTAATATGATGTGTTTAATTGACTGACAATCTTGGTTCTTGTGGCTCTTGTTTGAAACATAGCTTAAAAATAAGGGAATTCATGCAAGGTCCTTGAGTTGAACATCAATTATTGGGTATTTGAATGTTTATTATTGTTTTGTCCTATTAAACTTTGAATTTAATATCTTATTAAGTGACGATTTGTGATGCTAAGTATACTTCTATCATTTTCCTTGTATGAAAAGCATGAGTCCTAATTATTGTCAATTTCAAACCTCCTCCCAACTTCTCTCTGATTATCACCTTTCGAAATTCCGTGTTTCCTATATGTTTGAGAATACCAAATGGAGTTTTATAATAACTAGATGCAGGTAAACAATAACCACATTGAAAATTTTAGTAGGAAATAAGCATATCTAGTTTTTTGATTACCTGTTGCAACGAGATTATGACCAGATTGATGAGGACATAGAGAAATAAAGGTTTGAAAATAATATTTTGTACGAAATGGATTGTTGACCTCTGCTGTTAAAATTAAAAAAAAAGAGAATGAAAATCGCATGAATCTTACTTCGTACCTGTCGAACGCGCGAATCCCACCCGAAATCTCGCTGAAACCACTGGGCTTGTGTCAATGCTCCAAATTTTTTGAACCAGCGAATACCAAACATTTTCATTATCTTTTATAATAACAGGAATTTAAACATCATCCAACATTAAATGAAAGAGCCACTAAACAACATCAAACTGAAATGTGTTCTAATCTTTTATCTTCTCACACAACTACTAAAACTTTTAAACCCATCGACATTACATAAGCTCTCACAATTACATAAACTCCAAACTCAAACTTAAACTCACAAACTACACATATACATAACACGACTCAAATTGAAATCATAAAAAAGGAACCTTTCTTCCTAAGGTCCCCTACGACGATACGTGAACGGTCGTTATGCAGCCATCACTTATTTCCTGAAAAAGATTTTTAAATGTAGAATGAGCCAACGCTCAGCAGGTAGTTCATGTCTTTAAATAAAAATTTACATAAAACAAAATAAAGCAGTTTTTCGTATGAAAACATGTAAAGATTTGTCAAATTTGCATAATTTCGTACCAGTACATAAAAGAAGCATTTTCTTTTTCATTATTTTTCCTCAATGTAAAACCTTTCATTTATCATTTACTTTCCTTAAACATTACTTTTCTTACTTTGAAGAAAAAGCATAAAGGAATCAGTATAATGCATAATATCTTTACTATCATCCGTTTCGGATGTGCCCATATTTTTGTACTGATCAGGTACACAAGTATTTAAACTTTTAACATTTCTCTTAGAATCTTAGCTTGATTATGATATTTTGCATTTACTCAACAATTAACTTTCTTCACTATTTCAAAATAATATATATTTGCATTAAATATTGTTTGTCCAAATTTTGAAGAATTCAAAGTTCTTCAAAGTAATGTTGAACAAATTAGACGCTGTTACGGACAACTTCAAAACAATTGGATATCATTAGAACAATATTAATTCTTTTTAATTTATCATGCAATAATTATAATTACATCAACTATTTTTAATGTTTAAAATGATAAATATTCTTAAATTAAAATTAATTACCTCAATCTTCCTTCCACTTCGAGTCGAGATTATCACTAATTAAATTTTTTCTACTGGTTTGAACCTGATAATATTTCAATAGTAAAATCAATTTTTTTTCCTAGTGGCAAACCAAACATGTCATCTAAAAATACTTTTGAATATTCTTTCAATTTCTTAACTTCTTGAATTGTATCTTTTACTTGAATAAGAAAACCTTGATGTTCTTTATTTAGGAATTTGTGACTTCCAAATAAGTCCTCTATCTCCATAAAATTTATAATATTTTTTTCCCAAAATTTTGAATTTAACAATTCTTTTTACTGTAATAGTGACAAAATGATTAGATAGTTAATCCATTTATAAGATCACATCAAATTCATGCAAAGATAATACGTTTTGATTTGTCTCAAAATTTCTCTCATTTATATTGAAGTCTATTCAACATAAATTGTTAACATCTATACTATATCCATTCGGCATCAAAACTTCTAATGTTATAAGTATTTTATAAATATTCAATCCAGCTGATTTTTTAAAATCTTCTGAGATGAATAAATGTGAGGCTCCAGCATTAAATAGAATTTGTATAAGTCTATCTTAAATTATTATCATACCTATTATGATTTACAATGAATAATATAAATATTATTATTAATTTATTTAACAATTTATATAATATTTAACTTTTCTTAGAAAATAAATAAAAGTTTTTTTTTTACTTCAAATGGAAGACATATCTGTACTTACTTCAGGTTAAGCATTAACATTCTACTGTGATAATGCATACACTCTAGGTTGTGTATTAGGTTGACTTGGAGAGCTGACTTTGTTATTCTGTCTGCCAAAATTCCTCTGTGATAATCCAATGCTGGCCTTCATTTCTACCGAAGGTTTTTGTCAAGTGACTTAGGCAGTGTTTAGCTATGTCTTGGTTGATGACACCAAAAAAGGGTATTTGTTCTAGAAAAATGATAGACCGGTTCAGGTTGAACCGGCCCAAGGGCCGGCTCGGGTATA